CCTTCGCCCCACCCTCGAGAAAACTCGCAGAGAACTGATTGGTTTCCTCTGGAATGGATCATGCTATTTGGCCGATAACGATTGTCCACATAACTGCCGTACATCTTCGTAAAAACATCTTTATACGTATTAGTCTGATTTTCTCTTTAGCTCTTTGGCTCGCATATAAATCGATATCGATGTTTAAACACTTTAACGATGCACTTTGTCTCCAGTACGGTATTTATTGCTGAAATGTATAGCGAAAGATAGAAAATGATAAATATATATATATATGTTTATTTATTTATTTATTTATTTATATACAAGGTATCTCATTTTATTTTTGACAGTCAATATCTGAAAAAATATGGGAGATATGGAAAAATGTTTCAGACAAAAGTTATACGACCTCAAAGGGTACAGATAATGACAAAATTAATTAAAAAAAAAAACAATTTTCAAGGTCATATGAAAGTCATCGTCATTTTTTAAATTGGAATGTGGTATTTTTTATTTAAAAATCTGAAAGAACATTTAATTTTATGTAAAAAAGTGTTAGGATACCTTTGGCCTAAACTCATTATGTAAGGAGATATTTCTTTAAAACAAAAAACCAAAATTCTATTGAACGGTATATACGTGCGTAGTTCCCTTCTTAGCTAAATCTAGGGCCATGGATGAAGAAGTAAAGGCACAACCGTCTTGCGCGCGCATCCAGAGATCATGACCCTATGATCCGTCAGTATCTTTTACAGTATTTTAAGACTACAAAACCTCAACTCTCCTTGATGTTTGTAAAATCTTAATTTAATAATTGTTCAATATTGGCACCGTTAACCTCATGACATAATCTAATTCTCCGATGGAAACGCTCTTCTTATGACAATAAAACATTGCATGGGACACTTCGGCGAGCATCTCTTATTTTTCCTTTCATATCATCTTTGGTCGTTGGTGAATTTTGATAAACTATATTTTTAATATAGCTCCACAAATCTGACGTTATTTTGCTATTTAGGAAGTGTCATATACGAAAGGAAGTCGGAATCGTCGATTTGATTTAATAATGGGCGAATGTTATTTAACATGAATTTCGTCGTTAATCGACAATCGTAATCACGTGTTCTTGAATTGCTTAATTTTGATTTAGCGGCACGTTGATACGTGATTCTACGTGAAACACACGGATAATGCAAATTGTTGCGGATCGAGCGAGCCTCGTTGCAACAAAGCTCCCTGAGCGCCAAGCACGGCTGTCTCGCTGTCGAGTACTCGCACAGGCAGGACGACTGTTCCTCTACGTCTTCGTTCGTGATCCTAGATTTAACTAAGAAAAAAACTACGCACGTATACGTTGTTTAGTAGAGGTTTTCCTTTTCACGACATATCTCCTTACATGATTAATGAGTTTGGGCCAAAGGTATCCCAACATATTTTTACGTAAAATTAAATGTTCTTTCAGATTAAAAAAAAATACCGCATTCCATCTGGAAAAATGGCGATGACTTTCATATGATCTTGAGCAAGTTTTTAAATTAATTTTATCATTATTTATCCCTCTTGAGACCGTATAATTTTTGTCTGAAACATATTTCCGTATCTCTCATATTTTTTGAGATATTTGATTATCAAAAATAAAATGGAACACTATTGACAGAAAAGTGCTATATATAGCACTCTTCTGTCAATATACTGTCAAAAATAAAATGGAATACTGTGTGTGTGCGGGCGCGTGCGCGCGCACACACACATACGTATGTACATACATACACACAGCGCTCTTCTCCGTAGTTCGGTATTTTCGTTATATATTTTCGTTATATAATCGCACGACAAACTTAATATATCGTTATATATTAAGTTTGTCATGCGATTAATTTCTTGATATTGTCAATATATGGTTGTTAGCGGATACACGAATGTCCGAAAAGATATCCGTCGTTAAGGTGGTTAATGCGAGTTCTAGTACAATCTGTGTATAGAATTATATAGATGGCCGTTAGTATGTCCGTTGCGTTAGTTTAGCTGGCTGGTTTCACTATGCTTTGCACTAACAATGCTTCCTGCGTCGCAAGATTCTCATGGCTAATTTCGATTTTTGTCTGCGCAGGACCATGACTAGAGAAGACGTGGCGATAATTCAAGAACGCAGAATGTCCCAACAGAGTCAAGGTATCGCGGTGGAAACGGTTTTACGATGCTCTCTAAATTTCTTGCAGTGAGTTTTTTACCGAAAAATAAAGTGACAGCCGATTTATTCGAATTCAAGTGATTTTTTAAGTCTACAGAACAAGTTCTCCAATTTGAATCGATGAGTGAATATTAGGTTATCCGAAAAGTTCTGAGAAATTCTGTCATCTGTCGTTTGTTCGGCAGGACGCTGGATCGAGACTGATAGGCTAAAGGCGTTTGAGAGAAGTCGCTTTATTCTTTCAAGTGTGGGTCTGATGTTGATAAACAGGTTAGGTGATGTTGGATAGTGCGATCGCAAAGATGGACAGCCAAATGCTTCATTTACGCAACGTTATGCTTTTTTGCTTTCGGAAGGGAAACACCGCGGTGGAGACTACCCGTGAAATGTGCAACGTTTATGGGAAGGATACTGTGTCAAATCAAATACCCAGCCAATGATTCGTGCGATTTCGTAACGGTGATATCGAGTTCAAAGATACCTCACGTTCTGAAAGACCCTTCTACGCCATTCGAAGACCATCTGAAGCAAGCAGTCGTTAGAAACCCTCATAGAAATATGCTAGAACTCTCACAGGACCTCAACATTCTCAAGAGCATGGCTCCATAACCATTTAAGATGAGTGGGTTATATGAGTTACCTCGATGTCTGGATTCCTTACAAACTAAGCGAAACCTTTTCGCTCGTGTCGACACGCTCTTAAAAAAATTCTGAGGAACCTTTTGTGAAACACTTGATTATTGGCGATAAAAAATAAGTATCTATCGTAGTGTGACAAAGAAACGATTATGGGAAAAGTCGACTGAACTTCCACAAACGACCTCAAAAAGGAGGATTGCACTCAAAGAAAGTCATGCTTTGCATCTTGTGGAGTTGCAAGATTCTTGTCCACTTTGAGCTCCTTCCAGAGAACCACACGATCGATTCTGACAATACTGCGTTCAACTAGCTGACCTCAAGGAAGCGCTTGCCACGAAACATCCAAAACTGGTAAATAGAAAAGGCGTCGTCTTTCAGCATGACAACGTCACGTGTTTTATTAGCTGACCGCAGAAGACTCATTGAATATGGGTGGAACGTATTGCTCCACCCTCCATATTCACCGGACATTGCCCCTTCTGACTTGCTTCGGACGTTACAGCACTTCTTGAGGAATAAATCAATTCCTTGGAAGAGGTCAAAAACCATCTGGCTGCATTCTTCAAGGAAAACCCATGCCATTCTACGAGCGTGGAATTTTTTCTTTGCCCGAGAGTTGACAAAAAGTGATAGACCAAAATGAAGCAATACATTATAGATTAATTGTTGGTGGAATAGTGTCAATAAATTTTGGTTTCAGTTCCTCAAAAATTCTCAGAACTTTTTGGTTGATCTAATATTTTTGATCGAAATCCACAAGTAAATTTTACATACCCTGTTGTCGCAGGGACATTCATCTTAATCGATAGAAACATTCATTCGTACAGAGTCAGAATTCGCTCTAAGCTTGAGCGAACCATTCATTCTTACGATTCCGGGTGGCGGTGTTTTCATCGTGAGTGAACTATTACTTCGGGCGAATGTTTACTCGTCTTGAATGAGATTTCACTCCGAGAAATTTCGAGAGTACGTGATGCAATAAGGAATAAATTGTAATCAGTAACAAATGAATGATCGATAAGAGTCGCGCAGGTTGATAATTACGGTTAGTTATTAATCTTTCTTATTAGATTAGGGTAATTAGCCTCCTAAGATGTTAACAAAGAAGAAATTTTGTTCGATGTCGTGCAGATTAAATATAAATAAAATACTTTCCATTTATAAGAAAGGACGCAGAAAGTGCCTCATCAATTTTAATTTCCGTGTACGTAGTGAATCTACATAAAAAATGAACAGATACATGTCCGAGTGTTTTGTCCAATGCGCCTTCTAAATAGTAATTCTAATGTTTGAATTTTCAATCATTTACGCTACGTTTAGTAGTGTACGTGAAGAACCGGGTAAAAAGGAAGGTAATAAGCAGTATTGTGCAGCATAGTTGGCAGCTGTAGGATTAGTAACAGGTAGCAATAAAAATAACACAAAATCAAGACTGTCGTAACATTTTTTTTTATTTTTTCTCATTTAATATGTAGAATTAAATTTAACATGTATATTAGTAATATAACTTAAATATTTATCTTATATCTAAATAAGAAATTTCTAATATACAGAGTGATTCATAAATGCACATTTCCGGAGGTGAATTTACACACTAAATTAAATAAACGAACGTCTGATGAACATATATCCTGCATACCTTAATTATCGATTTATAAATGATTAAAGAAAATGTTCGAAGTATATCCGCCTCTTGTGTCAATATACGCTACTGCACGCTTTAATATTAAGTTCCGCATTCTTTCGAAAATACCAAGTATTCTTCGAACAGTCTCAAACCTATTTTGTATTCTATCTCGCAAATTGCGCGCATCGTTCACTTGCATTGAATATACAATATATTTTGAATGGCCTCAAAAAAATAATCTAATTGATTAAGATATCTGATTCATATCGATGAATATTGTTTATAAACTTTAAATAAGGTTAAGACGTGCTAAGGCGTACGTGCGTGCGTGCGTGCACACGCGCGTGTCAGCAAGGATAAGGATCCCACGAGTCGTCACTCTCGTGGTACTCGTATAAAATATAGTTTATATTCGTTTGGGACACTGTCAAGTGGCAGAAGGCTATTAATTTGAACATTTAATAAAATAATATGTATGCCAATAACTTTCTACAGAGATACGTGTGTGCATATACGTCACATGCACACACAGCAGAGAGGATTAGAGTTATTAAATACTATGGGAGTAACAACTCAGTAGGTCTTTATCTCTGCTGACACACACATGCACATACACACGCTCACATATTATAAAATATGTGATTTAAATTCGATCGAACTATCTTCACATGGTACATCTTGGGTTAGGCTAATGCTTGCTGTTGAAGTGTTGAAGACTCATAATTTTGATAGTTCTCATTAGAAAAAGATTTGTAACCAGTTTTTGGAAAACGTTTCAAAGCCGACTTAACATAAGGATATGTTATGAAAAATAGGAGTTTTCGTTAAAAATTTTTATGTTGACCTTGGCGATGCTTCTCAAAGTCATTCTTGTTTCAAATAAATATCAACATTTGAGCTTTCTTGCGCCCTACTACTTCTGTTTCAAACTTTTTTTAATTAAGTCAATATTTTTTTAGATAATTAGCCATTCTGGAACTTTGACGGTTTCCGTATGTGTGTATATACAGGATAAGGCATTTAACTTGAGACATCCAAATATGTTTAGAAACACTCTTCCTACGGAACAATTGTTCCAGGTCAAATTTGTTTCGAAAGAGGCCACAAGATGGCGCTATCTGTTTCTTCAAAGATGGCGCTATTGTCGGTGAAAACGAGATCAACTTTATTTTTTTAAACGGGAATCTTTAATTTAATTTTTCGAATATTATGATTTTACGTTAAAAAGAAAATAACTTTTGTCTGTCAATATTTTTTTTTTTCAAATCATCATAGATGGTGCTGCAATCAGTGAAATATGAGGTTTTGTGTGAGAGTTTCCTTACCTCTCACGATTGGGGTGCTTTAACGTGAGTTCCGTTGCCCTTCACGATTGAGATGCGAGTTTAACGCTCAGCATGAAGTCTGATAGCATTGGTGACGTTTTTTGGGATTCATCATAAATTAAAATGATTTCAATTTTTTCTGCAACAAATAAATGCTCCATATTTATGAGTAAAAAGGTTTACTGGCGTTCAGAGGAAGGAGCAAAACAAATTTGATCTAAAACAATTTTTTCGTAGGATGCATATTTCTCGAGATATTTGGATGTTCAAATTAAATGCTACACCCTGTGTATGTATATATGAGATATAATTCAGTATGAGATACAGTTATACATTCAGAATGAGAATAGCATATATAAATGATATCGTGTGTTATCTGGATACATATAAAATCTATTGATATTACAAAATTATTTGTTATATCTATTGATATAACAGAAATATTATAAATTGGTGTGGTTAGTCGCAAAAGGTTGTGATACTTTTTTTTATATGTTTCTTGTGTCCAATAGGAGAATTTATTTTTTAATAATTCTCAGGAAATATATTTTCCTACTGAATACAAGACGCGTTGCGAAACTCATCGAATAAAAAGTGTTGGAATGTTTTTGTGACCGTCTACATACATAATATGCTATTATTAGTTAGTGACGGGCAAAGAAAATGACGCTTGGGTCATGTGATTCAGACATCTAATCAAACTCGACTTTCTTCATTGCACTTCTCCATTTATATCTAGGATTTTAATACAGACGAATAAAATAACAATATAAAAGTCATTTCTTTGACAAAATATTTCTCTACAGCGACTGGCAGTCCCAACCCTATCTCACCGAGTTGCCCACCGACGCAGCAGCAACAGCAGCAACAGCAGCAGCAGCAGCAATCAGGTCATCACAGGACCTCGTCGGCACCACCAGCTCCGCAGCCGCAGCAGCAACAGCAACAGCAGCAGCAGCAACAGCCGCCGCCGCCGGCGTTACAGATCATGCAGAGCGTTGGCGGTATGGCTCCGGTTCCACCGCAAATGTCGACTGTGGTTGGCCCGCCGATACCGCCACCTCAACCACCGGTTGCGCCGCCTGCACCCCCGTGTCCGCCGGCGATGATAAACTTCAACACGCCGACCTCGGTACCGCCGATGATGATAAACCAGTACGCCCAGTCGCCGTCGTCGCAGACGAGCCAGTCGCAGTGCCAGCCGATCTACGTTACTAATCAGCCGGGCCAATACGGAGGTGGTGCGCCGACGACTAATCAGTACGCGACCGCCACTGTCGCCGCTAGCGGCGGTAGTAGCGGCGGCGGCACCGGCACTGTTACGAGCAGCGGTGTCGTCGTCGGCCAAAGCCAGAGTCAATATCCGCCTACCGGCAGCAGCCAGAACAATTTCTACGGCACTAACAGTCAGACGAGCAATTACGTCGTTGGTGGACAAGTGAGCCAAACCAGCCAGTACAGTCAACCAGCTGGCAGTCAGGCTGCGCAATACGTCAGTGGCAGTGGCGGCGGCGGTGGTAGCCAATACGGCAGCAGTAGCTCGATAAGCCAGTACGCGGTTCCACCGCCGCCGCCGGGCCAATATACGGTCGCCCAGCCGAGCCAATCGCAGTACGGCACTATCGTGTCGCAGACGCAGGCACAGTACGCCGGTGCGGCCGGTCAGGTGCAAGCCGCTGTAGCCACCACGAACAACCCGTATGGGACGCCGTCGAACTCGGTGAACCAGTATGCCGCGAGTGGACACCACACGGTCGGCGCGAACACCTACGCTCCTCTCACCGGTAGCGGTCCACCGCCACCTCCGATGGTACCATTGGTTGGACCTGCGGCGCCGCCTCCGCCGCCGCCGCCGCCGGCACCCAATACCAACAGCGCGGCAGCAGCTTCCGGCACGTCGTCGAGTGATCCTCCGCCGGATACCAATTCGTTAGCTGCCGCCCTTCAGGCTCGTCTCAAGAAGAAGCAGGTAACTTTATGTTGAGGACTTTTGTCCCTCGAGTGAACGAGTAAGTCGCAACAATACAATTGATACGCTTTATGCACGGTGTATTTGCGATAGCAACAATCGCAGCCGGTGGAGAACAGTGGCTCGAGCACCAGCAGTAGCGGAAGTGGTAGCGGAAGTGGCGGTAATTACGGCACCTTAGGGAGAGGCGGAGGCGGCGGAATGGCTTCCATGATGGACGAGATGGCGAAAACTCTGGCACGCCGACGAGCTGCCGCCGAAAAGAAACAACCTGAACAACCACTGGTAAGTGGTGACGCGCGACGGTCGCATAGCTTGGAAGCTATTTCAGCTTCGGAGTTAACGAGGTAATATTAAAGAACTCTGGGTACATTTTCGGGAGAAGATGTCCGTAAATATAATACTGGGCATTAGTGCTGTCCCATCCCTCAAGCATAGCGATATCGGAAATTTCGAAGTAGGTATATCGTTTTTGAATTTTCATATATTATGACTGCTTTGGAATATTTTTGTAGGTTCACAGAATAATCAGCAGTCATGATGCATGAATATTCAGAAATGATACGCCTAATACGAAATTTTCGATATCACTATGCGCAAAGAATCAGATAGCATTAATGCACGGCATCGCACTTAAAGAAGGATAACATGATCGACCGTTTTTAGTCTTTCGATATAAATATCTGGACATTCAATGTGTAATGAAATATTAAGTTGGTCCGTGACAATATTGTTAGAAATGTAATGGTTAAAGCTCCTAGCCTCTCGCTATAGTCGTCTTGTTTGATGACGTTAGAAATGAGGAAAAGCATGCTGAGAATTCATAGTAGTATACGTTTAAATAAAAAGATGTACCTGCTAAGTGATATTTATTATCCATTTTGCATACTCGTAAAATATTCCGAGTTTTCTCTTAATCTAACAATCAATAAATAATCGTTAAAGTAACATGACATGTAACCTTCCCTTTTAATTTATCTTTTCTCATGATTTTGTCACGTTCATTTTGCAGTTATTTATTGATTTTTGCGAACAAGAGGAAAGTGTTCGGAGTATTTTACAAGTGTGCTGAATCCATTACATATCATTTTGTGGATATAATTTTTCACTAGTATCTTGTATATACTACATGAATTAGTAATATTATAGGCATAGATTTCCTCTCATCTGATGTCATAAAACAATGGCGAATGTTTGGAGCTTTAATACGAGCCTTAAACACGAACAAGCTCGACAAATATATGCTATATGTTTATAAACATAATTTATGATACATAGTTTTGACATTTATAACGATGTATCTGTGCAACCGATGCTACAGATACACTGTTACGCGATTCGGCTGTATCCTCCTGCCAAGAATGCTCGAACTTCCGGCATAAGTACCGAATTGCGTTCTTCTGTCAGGCGATTTTCAAGTTCATTTGTGGATGTTACTTCTCGGGAAGCAATTGGAACTAATTAACATATTTCTCGTTATGACGAAGTCGATAACGGGCTATCCATTATCATTACCTTCATGTAGGCTATGGTTTCCAGTCACCTGTCTATAGGCAGGTTCTCTGTCTATCTTGGCGTTCAGGTCACCCAATATAATTTTTATGTCATTGAAAGGTGCGATCAGAGTCGTAATGAATTGATCAATCATAATAGATTATTCTTCTCACATTCGATCATGATTGGTCAGTTTTTTACGATCCCAGCATAAGTTAACTGCCTTCATAAATCAGCCTTTACCTTATCGGTGGCTTCGCGAATGAACGACTTCTGACCGATCTCTTTCAGGAGCCGGATAGCTCACCGGACAAGAAATCCTGGGACAAGAACAACTCGTCGAACAACAAGTTTTCCAACGGCGCCGAGTCACCGAAGTCGGTGCGCAAGAGGTTCGGCTCGGCTTCGGAGGACACCCTCCTCAAGGTGAACGGAGTCAACGATGGATCCTCGTTCACTGCGCAAGAGATGGAGGCATTCAAGGCGGAGATAATTAAGGAAGTGCGCAAAGAATTCCAGAAGATGAAGCAGGAAATCATCGATGGTGCATGTTCATGTTATCGCGTTCGAGTGCGAGCTGATTGCAAGTGTAATTTGTTTGCATTTTACAATATAAAATACACGCAGATACAAATCAATAAAATATCGATCGGAAGAAAGAATGAAAATTAAATGATTGCCTCTAGTGATTATAAATAAAAGATAGAGAGGAGAGGCCCAATAAAAAATTCTGCACACAAATTGTGTAATACCTAAAATAAATTAAAACTTAATATATCACTAACGTAGTGTAAACGGTATTCATTCATTCATTCATTCATTCATTTTTAATCTCAAGTTGTATCCTTTTTAGTGAAATAAACTATCCAAGATCACGATATAAACATCAATAGTCAGAATCAATAAAAATACAAGGTCATAAAATCTGTTTCTTTTGTGACTAGATTGTTTACTTCACTGAAGGAGGTTTCCAACTTGAAACTGAAAATATCTGGACAAGTAAACAAATATCTTTTACATTACATTAGTGATGTTTCAGTTTTAATTTATTTTATTGCACTACTACTGATTATGCAGAAGCTCCTATTGGCTACTTTTCTTTCTTTGTTCGTCGAAATGTTTCAACCATTTTTTCTAGTCATTTTTGGCTGTGAAATTCTTAATGTAAGTCCATCATAGTCTATGAACAATGATATACAGCGATAGTCTTCTCTTGGAGTCCTAAAAGCGGTTTACCAATCCCGGAAGGATATCCACTAAGATTGATTAATTGCAAAAGTTACTTACACGTCTGTTATCAAGTTCGACTTGAAGCATGACTTTTATGTTTCTGCTCATTACATGCGTTTTATATAATTATTGTTGACCGACAATTTATTTTATATTAATAATTTTGGTTGAGGGATTACAAGAAACGGCCGAAATATACCGATTGTTATTTTATTGATTTATACCTGCATGTAATTGTATTGTAAAATATACTCGATTTTTAAACAGTTTAGACATTTTTTCTTTCAGTGTAATTTGGAATACAGCCAATGATCTAATAAAAGAAATTTATTTTTTCGAAAACAAGTCCTCTCATTGGATTACCGTTCCGAATTGTATCGAAAAAATGTCCAAATTGTTTAAAAACCAGTATATAAACAAGTGTATAAGCAAATTATACCTGTAATCGGTTTTTATTGTTTTTATCATATTTATTTGTTCGATTTTAAGGCTCTTGAGTATTCACAAGGAGATACCGCGAACTGCTAATTCTACTTTTGAATGAGCCATAGTGCATTCGAAAGGTAAGGTTGAAAGTATAAAGTGTTAAGCCTTTCGGGTGTATGGGCCTTCGTTTCTAAGAAAATCATGCATCTAAAAGTGTGCATTTTCTAGCTGTATGGTAGGTACAATGAATAACTAAAATTTAGCAAGAAGCATGGTCGCCGAGCGGGTTATGCGTGCGCCCATAATTTTACCATTCGCGCCATCTAGGTGGCAAACATAACTAATTAACGTTATGAAATATATTGCGTTCATTTGCTAACTTTGACGCGTACCAAACGAATTTCATTATTTTTCTAAATTTTGGAGCATATAATAAATAATGAGTCAAAGATTGTATTCGTATAGTGTCATATCGCGAATTCAATTCTCTCATTTCTCCGCTAATCATAATATTCGGATAGTTTTGAATTCGTTTGATAATAATTTTTACTTTTCTGTAAAAATAATAATAAGATAATAATTTTTACTTGTATGTAAAAATAGATGTCGCAGGGTTGGCAAATCAGAGTGAATTTCGGCGGTATTATTTGTAAATTACATGTTGGTCTGTTTTTGTTATTCACAAAAATTTCATTATATGTGTGCAAATTTTTTTGACTTCTCCAAGAATTTATATTCATTAAGAAGGAATTGTTTCTAACATATGGTTTTAGAATTGCTTTTAAATATTGTTCATATAAATGGGAGGTCAGTTTATTTGACTTCGAACAAACGACATCAACATTTCTACACAATTTTATAAGTTCGTCAACTTCTGCTTTGACACGGACTTGTGTCCGTTGACGGCCCAAATGTGTCTCTCGGTTCTTGTAGGTATACAAGAACCGAGAGACACATTGTAGGTATACACTTTATCTAATAATTTTCCGGATTTTGTTACAGAATATTGAGGAGTATATGAATGAGTTATCTTATTTAAATTATCTATGGAAAGTTTGACTGTTTTTTCAACCGTATGCGTGTACGTTCTTGAAACATTTACTCGATATTCACAATCAGTTTGATCCGTATTAATAATATAATCGGGATCGTAATCGGTAGAAATTAACTGTATCAAATTTTAATACTATATTGCAAATTTTGAAATTTCCTCCGGTGATTTAATTTTTTTTTTGACGTTGCCGTTTGGAACCGGCGTTAAACTATAGGTCCCATATGCTTGTGTATTATAATCAACGTGCGCACCACAGGCATATGAGAGAGTCGCCTAGACACGGGTGTGGCATTAAAAGAAAAAGATTGACTGTCTGGAGGGGAAAAGATAGTTTTCACAAGTGTCTTTAAGCGAGCACAAGTGTTGCTTTATTCAAATATCTCCTGATTTGCAAATGGCATGCAAGAAATCTTAATGTGTCCATTTCTCGTCTTTGACATGATAAATTCAATATGGTTGCGGCGATTATTCAAGAGCCTTAATAAAAAAGTCTTGCCATCATTCGATTTATGAATTCTACATTTTATTTTACACGACACAAACGATATGAAAGTTTACGTTTTTCACTCGACGCTTTACATTTCCAGCCGTAAGGACAGAACTAAACAAGAGATAAAGAAGACGATTAAGAAGAAGAGATACGGACGACAGAGCTAACCTCAAAGCCGAAAAGGACAAGAAAGCGAGATGAAGAAGGACAAAAATCGAAAAAAAAGTTTTGTGAGACTAAACTTGCTCGATATCAAAGCGTTATCGAGATCCACATACAGGTTTTTACAACATATTTGCGAGAGAATGTGTAATGTGTGGTTACACTTATGTATATCGGACATTTATGTGTAAGTACGTTAATCTAACTAGCATCCTAAGTGGCCGTAATCCTTTTGTTATTTACTATACAAATAACAATCGTAACGAAACGTTGAATCAGTTGAGTTTCGTTCGACGACTTGGTGCCAGTTTTCTATTGCCACGTTAGTTCTTTTTTCCTCTCTTTCCCAAACTAAATCTTAAGAAAGAGAAGAAAAGAGAATCGGTACAGTAGCTGATACGGCCAGAAATGCAGCAATAGAAAACTGACCCTCGGTTTGGAGAAGCTTGAGATTAAGTCTCTCGGCATTTTTTTACACGCACAAGGGATCACGAGGAAAGACCCTTTCGGTTAGGTTTTCGGGCGCGAAAGGAAGATTGAAAGAAAAAAACAAGTAGAGAGAGAGAGAGAGAGAGAGAGAGAGAGAGAGAGAGAGAGAGATGACTTGGACGAAAACGTAATGTAAGTACACGCACAATGAGATACTACTATTATCGCTTCGTAGATTAAAGGGATATCGATAAAGACCAAAAAAATGGTGTACTATTTATAATATAAATTATATTGATCTATACATAATAACTTACGCTAATATCCATGTTTCAAGATGCGCTCGTTTATAGCCATGGCCGAAGACGAGCGGTGGGTTGTTTCTCGGAGCGACGGTCGGCACTAAATCACCTCACGACCAGTAGACGAGAGTTCTCTCGATTACATTACACGACTCGCGGCATAACGATTATTTCATTCGCGAGAAACTCAATGATTTCAACGTCGAAGTTACGTATCGTATATATATTTTTTATTAATACGCATATATGGCCAGGCAGGGTTTCTAAGACTTCTCTTGTACACCGAGGGCGATTTTTTATATCATTAAGAAAGATCTCATCATGTTGTAGGACATTCGTGCGGAATCCTTTTTCGTCGATGTCGTGGCATTCCTCGTGGTTTTCCCTCATGTTCGTATTATTAACGTCGTCGTACGTTTCTCGTTTCCTTCTACTTTCGACGAATACTCGGCGATAATGACGACATACATAGGACACGCGCACGCACATACGCGCGCACCCGTACGCACGCACGTTACCGTTAATTATTTATGTGAGGCTTCTTGCGTCGTCAATCTGTGTTGCGACGCACGAATCGGTTTCTCCGCGAATGAAAATGTAACAGGCGCGCGAATACATTCCAGAGACACTGACCTCGTATCCCCCAACATGACATTGCGCTGATCTTCTGATACATTGAACACGTTGTAAATAGCAATAACGACTAGAGACGACGGATGCCACGATCGTTGATCGTGAAATTCTCGAAAAACACGTATATCGCGCTCGTTAAACGATAATTGATTAAAGAGTTCTCGCGCGCGTTCATCCATTCCCGACGTGGTGGATATCGAATTCGTTGAGTTCCGTTTGCGCCGAAGAAAGAATCACGTCGCACATCGAAGCGTGTACCCTTCTTTTCGATCGGATGAAATGATTCTCCGAAACCGGTCGGGGTTCTTCTCTGCGCTTAATCGCACTTTCGTAGTTTTCCATTTAAATATAGCGCACGGCTTCTTCCTCCCAGTTTCTTACTTTCGACAAGCATTTTCATTCGGGCGATTTACTCTCCCGCGTGCACATAAAGCCGCCGAACATCTGTGCGATACATAATTCATTTTTCATTACTTTTTTTTTTTATCATTGCGAGGTTATTCATTTTTACGCTCTCGACGTGTGCGAGCATCACCATGATTGAAGTTCTCGAGCGGCGAGCCTTGACTTTTTAACACTCCGACCGTTTCACTTCGATTTTCGAACGCGGAATAATTAACGTCTGATATCATTTTCACAATTAAGAAATTTTATAATTACTACTATTAAACAACTTACTTGGCGAAAAGTAAGAAAAAGAAAAGTGAAAGATACGCGAGAGACATACCGATAATATCAATCTATAGTATAGATATATAGTATCGATTATCGAAGGTCATCTCTTGGAAAATTCAGTTACGTGGGTGGAAAATGAAGTGAATCGGCATGTGATTCATAATATCGATCTTTATTTTTTTTTTCTTTTTACAGACGATATTTGTTATCGAGTGGGAGATAATTTTTTTTGTACGCAAAAAAAGATAGTTTTCGTGACTAAATTTTAGTTCTCTGAAGACCAGAGACGAAAACTCGGTGGTGAGAAACGATCTCTGCGTTACCGTGATTGAAACATTGTCTGAAGATTCGGTCACATTAAAATTTAGCCGATGTAATCGAGGACAACTGACTGAAATAACGAACACTGACTAACGAAAATTTCCTGCAGGAATCTTTCTGTTCTTACCACCGAGTTTCCCTCGAGTCCTCGGGAGACAAAAATTCAGTCACACAAACCGAGTTTTTTCTCCCGTCTGGATTGGTACTTGTCGTCGCAAAGTTATTTTTTTCACATATAATTCACAACAAATAAATCATAAAAAAGTTGACATACGAATTGTTAGTTTGTATAGTAATAGTGGTAATTTGTTTTCTTTTTTTTTTTCGTTCAAGATTAATTTTTCAGACTAAGTATCTCGTCGACGTCCAGTACGCGCTTTCAGCGCGGGATGAGCGCGCAAGTATCTCATGTCCGTTTTCACCGGCGTGGCTTAAAAGTCAATTTCTATTGACACTTGGCTAATCCAAGTTTATCGAAATATTGTTTCTCTCGATGATCTGCTCGCAATGAAACGTAAGCATAAATTGAGTTTTAAACTCTATTTACATGCATTTGCGAATAAATCGTCGAAAGAAACCAATATTTCGGTAAATTTTGATTATGTTGGATGTGATTGGAAACGTACTGTTTTAAGCTAAGTTAGTGGAAATGCGCATTCAGCTGACTTGCCGCGCGTCGATTGATTGTGTCGGTGACCGACTCGTGTGACTTTTTTTCCGGAAAGTTGAATTTTACTTTGGCATTTTTTATTGCACGTTTCATCATATACATCGTTAGTGCCGTGCGTATGATAAATGTAATCTTAAAGTACGTTGATAGCCGTTTTGTGAGGAATTCGTTGTAAGAGCGAGGAAAAGAGGAAGAAAGAGAGAGAGAGAGAGAGAGAGAGAGAGAGAGAGAGAGAGAGAGAGAGAGAAACTGTTTTCTAGTCGGGTCGTTAGAGTGAACGGAAAGCAATAGGAGTTGATATACATGTTGCACGATACAGGCGCCAAGGTGCAAATTCGCTTGCAGAAAACGTTGCATTGCGTTTGAATATATTTTACAGAAGCATTTTGAGACATATCCGACATCCAGTAGGAAGACCTGTTCTATGAGAATTATTTGAAAACAAACTCTGATGAGATACGCATTGCTTCAAAAATTTTTAATTTTGAAATTGAGAAATCGGGACAATTTCCCGAAAAGTCATATTGCCGAGGCAGTATTCTGAAATATACTTTTTTCTTAGTGTGCAATTGCTCCAAGAAAGAACTATTACCCTGCAAACAGAATACACTAGTATACTAATATTATCCATTTATTTATTTTCATATTACATTGGTATATTAATTAATCCATTTGGGTAAATGATAAATTCTTGCTGCACTCGAATGAAAAGATATTGAGAGGAGGAGGGGTAGAAAAGTTCGAGTCTGTGAAAAGTTGGTGAAATTTAACTTGTTACTACTGGTATAGGAATTAATCGAATACGAAATTCTTTTGTAGTCTATACTAAATATTAATGATAAAAATATATTTAAGAATTAAAAAAATATTAACCTGTATGTATGTGTGTGTGTATGTATGGAGCTGTTACAGCTTAATCTTATCCCGAATGTATATTGCAGTTTTGCAAGAATTGCGAATGATCCAGTTGACCCCTTTAACAGAGATAAACGGCGCTATGTTTCGAAAGCTTTCCTCTACGGATTTAACTAAAAAAGAAAATATTTAGAAAGTTTCACAAAATGGTAGCAAAAAACTAAAATACCACAAAAATGAAGAGTTTTTTAAAATTTTATTATATTTTATTTTATTAGTAGAATTTGAATAAGTAATATTTTTTAACGGAGAGTTTAGCTATAGATCTTCAACAAATTTTATTATACTTTAAGTAATAAAAAATACCTCGGTATCTTTGTTCGTTCTTGAGAGCCTGCAAAACTATAATATTTACCGCAGGATGCAACAACAATCTCTCTCCATATGTTAATATTTTTAATTTCTTAAATATATTCATTATCGTTAATATATAGTATAAATAGCTTATAACAAGATTTCCTACTCGAATAATTCCTACATCTGTAGTAATGAGTCAAATTTGACCGATTTTTAACAAATTCAAATTTGTTTACCGCCTTTAATAGTAATGGCGGTAAATTAACCTAACTGTACAACGAGACAATGTCAATATTTCGGTAAAAATTGTCTTTCGGGAAATTATCTCGACATTCGGATTTCGGCATCGACTTTTCAGGGAATTGTCCCATTTTTCAAATTTCGATACATTCTTTCCGAGACAATTCGCGTTCACCCAAATTCCTCTCCTGGACGTCGGCTGCGTTCGGAAGTACGTCGAGGAAAAAAATACGTTCAAATCCAGGCCGCAATCGAATATGCGCTTAGTTTTAACACAGTTTGAATATTTATATTTTCGACTCAGTTTGGAAGCCAGCCGACCAATAAGTCCAATGGGAGTACTTATAAATTAAAGAAAGCCCACTGTTTATTCATCGGCTGTATGATTCTGAAATACATCGAGAACAAGAACGCGCAAACCGTGTTAGAATCGAACGTCGAACAACTTTAACTTGGACAATGATTCGATTCTCCATCGATCAATTTCCTTTCGTTTCGCGCCTAAGAATGTCGGCTATAGTAACTTCGCGTACATAATTAGAGCGCACGTGGTATGCACACACGGAATGTCTTAATGCGGAATGTCTTAACGTTACTTTTGTACTAACGTTTACTTTCCGTTCCGTGCGATAACAATCCGTAGGTTTTTGTTTTCTATTCTTGCACTAGGACTATAACTAGAACTGAATTAGTGCAAGCCAGAATTAACGAATGTAAGCGCACAGCTGAGGAATAAAGAGTGCTCTCTTGTAAGAGTAATACGGCACGCTATTTTGTAACTACTTTGTCGAATTGAACGGTTATTACTTTCGACAGCAACTGACTACGATTCTAACTTGTATATCTGAATGTTAAATGCTCTATATTCAGATATAAATATTGTAAAATTTCTTTAGTGTCTAGAGAAGTTTTTATTTTCATAATTAATTTTTAACTTTTGTTTCGATAGCTATATAATAAACGAAGAGTCAACTTTTAAGATAAAAACAATAAAACGTAACGTTTAGTCATTTAGGTATATCACCTCGCGTGTCTATACATCGCGAAAATTGGTGTAAGAAAATATAATAATTTAATGATATAACAATACAGGCTACTTGATGTTTCATGCACTTTCATTCGAAAGTTCCAATTGTCCTCGTATTGCTCCGTGCCAGGACAACTAGTTCGGTAAACTCGCGCACTGAGTTCTACTGCATCGGAATAGGAAAGAACGTCGCTAATACCAGTTCTAGAATATTAAATGCTTCAGTACCTACTTCTTAAACTGGTGCAGCTAGTGCAAGAATAGAGAACAAACTTCGCGTTCTCCCAGCGGCGTACATCGTTCGGTGTACTATCGCGCACCGCGAGAGACTCGATGGTTATTTCTGCGCGCGCATTTCCGCTGGTAACCGAGAGAAGTGTGTGATATAGAGGTGCAAATGTGCATGGATTGCCTTTTTGTATATGCTTCACTTCTTTTCTTATCTGCCGGGATATCCCCCTTCCCCTTCCCCTCTCTACGTCTTTTTACACGCATTTTTTATATTTCACCTTTGTACATATAAACTTTCCTGGTATGTGGATAATCTTTCTATATATTTAATTTATTCGCCTTGTTTTCCTTTTTAGTTTATTTAAATATAATTTTTAATAATGACGGTACATATTGCGTTGTTAGTGCGAGGAGTATAGGAGAGGGAGAGTATGAGTGAGGGAGAGAGAGGGGGGGGGGGGTTTGCGAAATCGACGAAATGCGTTTTCAGAGGCTGAATTCCATATTAATAGTTGTTATTTGAAGCTTGTCATACGTGAGGTAACTCGAAACTGAATTTGAAATCTGAGTTCATCAGTTGAATTATGTGATATACGGGACAAAGTATCTATAATTGCCATTTTGTTATTTCAGGAATATTAATACGTATGTAAACATTTGGATATATTTCATTTTTCCTTCTTTTTAATTTGGACACCGTCAATAAAATATAATAAATATTATTACGAAGAAATTTTCTCCATAAAATTTCATAAGTAGAAAAGAAATTTCATCATTATAATTTACTACTTTGGTATTCATAAGTCAAACTGACTCAAGCGAAAAATTAAAGTTTTGCAATTGTTAAATTTTTAACTATTGCACATATAAACATAGTATCCTTTTATTAAAGCATGTAACATTTTTTTATTTCTTTGTAAAATCAATATACTATCTTACTCATAGACATAGTGCATCTAAACTGATCGCTTGCCTTCATTTGAGGAGTAGGAATCGAGATACATGTAGAAAAGGAAGGATACACTTTGTTTTGTCTTCCTTGTGTGTTCTCTCTCTTTCATGTGATCTATATGCATGTCGTGTCAATGCACAAGCGAGAGAAAACGCAATAGTCACAAAACAGTAAGTAATCTTTTTTTACATACATCTTGACTCTCATTCCTCATCACTCGGTCTATACACATATATATATTATGTTTACTTATATCTTTAATTATCTGTTTATAAATGATGATTGCAACAAATTTGTTTAATTCATCTATTGTACATTTAAAATTATAATATTTGTGTATGAATAAGCACATTTAGATACTGGCAATATCAGAGAACTCTCTTATCGTCTGTCATAGCATATCGAACTAAGCAGTAAAAAATAAGTGTGCCAACGAAAACTCAACAGATTTCATATTTATGTCGCTCTAAAATTAAGTTATTTTCTTCTGGTTTAAACAGTCCTTCTTAAACTTATTCTTCAAGAAGGATTAACTAAAAAACTCACCTGTGCGGCTCTGAGCTCAAATGTGAGTATCTCATATGCGACAAGTTTCTATTAACACAGACGTAAGATGAAGTGAGATAAAGAGGAGGCGGATAGTGCGTATAGTTACTAACATAGTGACATTTAAATCGGAAATTCGCGAAAGCCTCTGTTCCTATCGGAGTGCAGTCCTTTACTCGAAGAGGGAAGATCTCTCTTCAATATCCCCGCGAACTAAGAAAAGCGAGACGTTATCTTTATGATATTCTCACCTTGTTAACAAAAATAGAATGTTTCTTGTTCCGGGCTGTATGTTCAGTCACAGAAAGATTGCAACACTTATTCTTTCAATGAATTTCGCAATTCATCTCGTATCCAATAGGAAAATGTATCTCCTGAAAATTACTGAAAAACAAGTTG